ATGTAAAATGCTATTTAATTGGGGGCTAACTTCACATAGGTGTCATTATGAATAATTATGTTGTAATCTCAACAAGTTTAGTGAAAATAACTTTTTATTTTGTGCGTGGGTATAAATTAAACAATTTGAGGTTAGGATTTAATACGAAAATACATGGTTAACATTGCTTGTGTTGTCAGTTGTAATTGTCATTTGGTTAAATGCATAGTTTGTTGCTATCGTCACACGGGTTATTTTTTTATTCTTATTTTGTAACCATGTACACGTCTTGTTTAATATTAATTTTTAATTAATTAACTATTTTAACTTAAGTAAGGTACTATTAAGCTATTATAAGCTATTATAACTAAGCTATTATACTTATTTATCATTTATATTTATAATATAACGATACTTCAGTCGTTTGACATATCAATTGATACACAATCTATTAACATAAAGTCTATTAACACACATTTGGTAGAAACAATTCTATCTAACGACAGGTAATTGTCGTTATGCATTGATAGCCTAAGAAATAAGGTTTTCATCCGTAAATATGTTGTAATCTCAACAAGTTTAGTGAAAATAACTTTTTATTTTGTGCGCGGGTATAAATTAAACAATTTCAGGTTAGGATTTAATACGAAAATGCATATTTAACATTGCTTTTGTTGTCAGTTGTAATTGTCATTTGGTTAAATACACAGTTTGTTGCTATCGTCACACGGGTTATTTTTTTATTCTTATTTTGTAACCATGTACACGTCTTGTTTAATATTAATTTTTAATTAATTAACTATTTTAACTTAAGTAAGGTACTATTAAGCTATTATAAGCTATTATAACTAAGCTATTATACTTATTTATCATTTATATTTATAATATAACGATACTTCAGTCGTTTGACATATCAATTGATACACAATCTATTAACATAAAGTCTATTAACACACATTTGGTAGAAACAATTCTATCTAACGACAGGTAATTGTCGTTATGCATTGATAGCCTAAGAAATAAGGTTTTCATCCGTAAATATGTTGTAATCTCAACAAGTTTAGTGAAAATAACTTTTTATTTTGTGCGTGGGTATAAATTAAACAATTTCAGGTTAGGATTTAATACGAAAATGCATATTTAACATTGCTTTTAACTTCCAAAAAGAAACGTCAAATCGCAACTTTAAAGTGATTTTTTGGTAAGTACTACACTTTTCCGCACTTTTTTTTTATCATTAACACATCTTTTGAGTCATTTCCTACCGATTAAAAAAAAATCATCGATTTTTAAGTGGGACAGGTATTCTTTAATTATTCCGCATATATGAAAGTACCCTTCAAATTCACTAAAGAATCACCCCTCGAAGTTTGTTGCAGTCATTCAGATACACCCTGTATACATATAAAAATTATTTCTTACCTTCTCTCCTGATACACAACACCTCTCTCCCGTTCCTTCCCATGTCCCCCAGCACTTTCAATCCTTTTCGGATTAATCATAGGCGGAGGCATTTGCTTCCTATCATTCAAAGCTTTACTCGTACTATTACTATTAACCATGGTGCTGTTATTCCGAATAATTTCGACTCGGTGATGAGGTGCTGCCGCTTGTTGAATAACAGAAGGCCGAATTTCTTTACGAACAGGCGTCACCTCTAAACCACCCTGCTTCAAAATGTCCAATTTTTGCTGTTTTACATCATTCAGAACTTCACCACCAACTCCTATCTTATCCATTTCGACGATCGATGGAGCCGTATTCCCAATAATGTTATTATTGTTATTATGGAAATTGTTACTAAGATTATTATTGTTGTTAGGAGTAAAATTATTGTTTGTATTGTGATTATTATTAATATTATTCGAAGAAACATTTTTATAAACGTCAGATTCTAAATCTAAATCGATAATTTCAGGACATTCCGCGACGATTTTCGCGGGGATTTCGATAATTTCAACTAATTGATTTTTGGGAGGTTCGAAAATCGGGATTTCTATGCTTTCGACGGGACTAGGTGATTTATCTTGTATTTTAACTTGCGCCGGGGTAGCCGCAGTCGTAATCGGTTCCACATTTTTCTCCACAACCTTATTCACCAACACTTTATTACAAACTTCGACTTCTTTAAGTTCAAATTCCTTATTTTCTTTCACTTCTAAATCGTTAATATCTTTGAAATCGTTAATTTCTTTAAAGTTATTGATTTCTTTGATTTCCTTGCAATCGTTGATTTCTTTAAAATCATTAATTTCTTTAACTTCCTTAATTTCCTCCCCGATTAAATCTTCAACATCTTTAAACACATTTTCTTTTTTTCCCGTTGCATCTTTTAAACGATCCGATTTTACCCGAACACTCCTTAACGACGACGTTTTTCCTTTTTCTAATATTCCAACGACATCTTTTAATTCACCTATTAAATTATGATCTATCGTTGGTGTTAATGGCGTTCCGTGTTCGCTGCCGGAAGTGCCTTCACTAGTTGTGTCTAAATCGCTCGTGCTCGTGCTATTTGATTTGCATTTCAGTCTTCTTCGCGCCGAAACCGGCAAAGGTTTGTGTTTTTCGCCTTTTAAGTGACGTTCGTAAGGGAGTAAAAATCTGTATTAAAAGAATTCATTTTAAAAAGAAATTAATGCTGGAGAGTTCTTTTTACCTTTCGTAGTGTCTCCTCATAACCGTCGCTGCACTCGTACTCGTATGATTACCACCCAAATCTTCAAAAATCGATTTCCAAAGTCTGTTTGCCGTCACGGAATCGTATCCACCCAATTTTTGAACTTTTGTGTAAAAAGCGTAAAGATCCACTACAAAAATTTCGTTAAGTTAATTAATTTACTTAGGTTAATAAAATTTTTATTACGTTCTCGATATCCCAAACAAGGTATTCGCCCGATTGGGGTTTGATTTGATTTCATAAACTCTTTAACTTTCTTCAAAAACGATCTCTCGTAACGGTCCTCCAACGTTCTTTTACTTCTCCTAGTCGAAATCGATCCATTTACAGCAATACCATTCATAAATTCATCTAAATGTGTTGATTTCTGCAATATAATAATCAATAAAAAAAATACATATATACATATATAAAATTTTTTTTTACCCCCGATGATGTGCTAGGTTGTCCATTATTAACACCATAAATAGAACTTTCTGATTCGTTGCTTTCCGATCCAGGTGAAGTGCTTCTTTTTTTCCGTCGACCACGCGGTCTTCCTTTTAATTTTGGCGCTAAATGATTGCATAACATTTCGTGTCCTTCCAATTCGGGGTAATCAAAAGTATCGCGACAAAATAATATCCTAGTATTTAACGATGGCACGCAAAAACCGCCCAACGCGTTTACTATTTTCATTTTTAGATAGACGTCTTCGACCCCCTCCAATCTCATCATCATCGCGCGGTATCTGCAGTACCTTGGGTAGCTTAAAATTACCACCGATGGTGATTTGTCGTTGTACTTTGAATCTGTAATGAAATAAAAACAAATTAATTTTAATCCAATTTTTTAGATCGAACGGCAACGTTTAGATATCAAAACAGGAAAGGTCCCTGAAATTTCAAGAAAAACGTTGTTGATTTTAACGATGAGATACAAAATTATTGCTTAACAAAAAACACTTTTCAATCGGATGTTTTTCCGGGATAACGTGCAAATTTGTCATGTTTAAAATTAAAACATATCAACATCTTTTACTTACAGCATTACTACTTTCTTTTGAGAAATAAAGAAAAATAAAACACTCCATTCTATTTAAACATAGATTAAATTCTTTAGCCTACTTATTTATCTATCAAGTAGATAGTGGGAGAAGGTATATAAAGAAAAAGTTGGACTATTTTATTTATACCAAATCTACTTATAAAAGCAATCGGTAAGTTACCTTTATTTATTTCATTTATACTTTTCCATATACAGGGTGTCCCGCAACGATTGTACAATACTGCATCAGCGTATTCTCTGATCGAAAACAGACAAGAAAAGTCTAATAAACATAGGTCCGAAAATGGACCAATTTCGAGATATTCAAAGTTTTAGTTTCAAAAGCTGACCTATTATAAACATCATTAATTCTAACGATTTAGATGCAGTAATTATATGATTACCATGGTTACGATGGTTAAGATAAAGTTTAATAAATAATAAGATAATATTAAGTTAATTAATACAGTTCATTAATAATTTAACAAAACAAGTAACAAAGATTGTCGAAGAAAATCGTTCAACCAGCATAAAAACAACGAATATTTAACAAATTGGAAAAGATTCATGTCATAATAAATGTTCAATATGCGCACCATTTACTTCTAAACACAAACGGATACGTTTTCTAAATGAACTTCTAATGCGTTCAAAGATACCAGGAATTTGTTTTACTGTGTCAAATGCGTTACTAATTTTATTCTTCAAATCCTGCACATTTTGAACGTCTTCAGAATAAACAATTTGTTTTAAATGTCCCCAAAACCAAAAATCTAACGGATTTAAATCTGGTGAACGAGGTGGCCATCCTCGGCCAATCCACTTATTGCCAAATCTGTTATTTAAGTATGCTCGAGTAGCGCGTGCATAATCGTGCATAAAGTAGCAATCTTCTAGAATTTGTTGAGGTAATTCATCAAATGCCTCTGTAAGGTCATTTTGTAAAAAATGTATGTAGGCATCGGCTGTCAATCTCTTTGGAAGAAAAAATGGACCTAATAACTGATCACCTATAACTCCAGCCCATACATTAACACTGAATCGCCACTGATGATGAGTTTCTAGTATTGCATGGGGATTTTCATCGCTCCAAACGTGCGCATTATGAATATTAAAAATTCCGCTTTGAGTAAATGTTGCTTCATCCGTAAATACAATGTTTATGGGAAAGTCGACGTTTACTACCTCTTCCTGTATGGCCCACCTACAAAAAATCTCTCTTTTTTCGCCATCATTTTCTGTTAGAGCTTGAACGGTGTTGTAATGATAAGGATAAAGCAACTGCTCCCTTAAAATGCGGTGAACGGTTGTTTTGTTAATGTTTTCTTGTGCAGAAATTCTTCTAATGCTGGTTGAGGCATTTTCATCGACTCTTCTCAAAACTGCTTCTTCTAATTCCACCGGCCTTGTGTAATGTCTCTCCGTGGAATGGCTGTGGGTTACGCTTCCCGTTTCTTTTAATCTGAGAAATAGTCTGCTAAAGGTGTGACTATTAGGCAATCGTCTGTTCGGGAACCTTTGCGCGTAATGACGAGCTGCTAACGACGCATTTCCATCAGCTAGTCCGTAACAATACACCATATCCGCCATCTCTTCCTTGGAGTAATTAATAGGAGCCATACTTAATAGTTTTATTAAATTAAATAGTAAAATAATAATTTCGTGAAGTATTATTATTTTTTTTTGATTAGACAACTTATCGTAATCATAGTAACGACTTAATTATTATAAAAACAAATTTAAATTCATGATGTTAACAATATCAACTTATGAAACTAAATCTTTGAATATCTCGAAAATGGTCCATTTTCGGACCTATGTTTATTAGGCTTTTTTTGTTTATTTTTGATCATAGAACACGCTGATGCAGTTTTGTACAATCGTTGCGGGACACCCTGTATATTATTACAGTAGACCCCGGTTATAATTGCTAACAACAAGATTTATTATTAATGGTATATTTAATCTTAGAAAGATCGTCTGCGTTAAATTGACGCATTTAAAGTTTCTGTTTATTTTATATAAATAAATAAATATAAATACATACATTGTGGTATTTATTGTTTCATCTGTATGCAAATACATAATAACGATGGGTTTATTCAAATCAATAAATAAAACGTGCCAGTTAATAAAACTCATGGGTCAATTTTAATTTAAGGATGATTATCATTTACGTACATAACAATACGATTCTCTTTCTAAAGTTAAATTGCAATTGAAGTGGAAATACTAATCTAATCGGTTTTTAGTGATCCATAAATAAACAAATACGATTAAAACTGACCGTCAACAAAACATAACGTGCTTGCGTTTGGGTTTTCAGCTCGCTATTAATCTTCATCGAAATGTCAACTGGAAAAGTAACAATATTGTGCGTGACACTTTTATTCGGTTTGCTTTTGTTGATCGAAGAAGGAGATGCTATCAATTGCGTTTGCATGAATTGGAGAAATTGTCACGGTGACATCAACAACGAGTAAGTTAATTAGTAACTTAATTCAAAAATTATTGATTGCTTTGAATCGTTTCAGCGTTCATTGCCCGATGGATTATATTAATGTTTGTTGTGTTACGCCAGATCAAAAAGTGTGGTTTACTGATAATAATGAGATTGAGCGAATCCCTCAATAATTTTTAAATGAAATGAATTATAAAAAGGATTAATATTAATGTTTACCTGATGGAGTCGTTTTCTTTTCAACCTCCACATCCGATAAATCCAATAACCCTTCACCCAAATTTATCGACATCGGTACCGCATCTTCGGGGGTTTTTACAATATCGTTTTCGCTTGATGAATTTTCCAAAGTCCTACCCAGTCTACCCCATGACCATTCCGTGTCGATCGTAATCCACGTAATTAAATCTTCTACTCTTAAAACTACTTTTTCCGATATCGCCAACACTTCGTCCTAAAATTTAAAAAAATAATGGTATATATAATACAATTTAAAGCAATTTATGGGATGATTTTTTATTAATAAAATTGGTTACATAAATAAAAATATGTAACGAGATATTAATTAAAATCTCGAAAACAAGATAAAATTAAATATAAAAGGTAAAAAGATTAAAAAATATAAAAGATGGAAAAGGAAAATCTCTAAAATAACAATTTTAATTGGTAAAGTTCTAAAGAAGAAGCAAAAAGAAAAAAATTAAATGGAATAGGGTAGGGGTTAGGGAATATAGGAGATAGGGTTTTAGAGAGGTGGGGTAAAACGGGGAGTGGGGGGATGTTTAAGAGTTATTCATCCAATAGTAGGCGGTCTGCATCACCGAGTTTCCATAGAAACGGCTTCCAAGGCCAACGCACGCGCCCCAAAGACAACATCCCCATCACACCCCAACCCCCTTCTTGCCCTTTCCCCAACCGCCCCCCAAAATCCTCCCCCTCCCAAAAACACCCCTCCCACAAACACACATACACAAGAGTCCCTTGCTTTCCATAACTGCACTATTTAATCGTTAGATTGTTTGCTCGTTTTATTTGGTAGTGGTACACTAGTGTTAGAGATGGGGAGGGGTGAAATTGGTGGGTGAGATCCTCTATCCCCTTGGGGGTTGTTTGTTAAGTATCTAACCCCTTTTCCATTATTATTAAGTAATTAAAAAATTATATTTAATTGTATATATTAAATATATTTATTAAATATAATAAATTGTTTGTTGTATATAAAAAAAATTAAAACAATTTAAATAATATAAAAATAAGATTTGTGCAAAAGCGATTTAGAAAACGAGTATAATAGAGAAAAGAAAATGGAACAAGAGGAGAAAAGGAAGAGTACAAAAGTTATTATTCGGCACGGCGTGGCGGTAGCCCACGGTGGGGGGGAGAAAAAAGTACCCCTCTTTTAAAGACGGTGGTTTCTCAAGAATCCCCCCAAACCCATCGTCGCTAGTATTTCCCTCGTTATTGTCGTGTAATTTAAAGGTAAACGAATTATTTTTTAAACGCCTATTACAATATGCCAATTGGGTTGCCTATGCGGTGAATATTTTTGATTAATATGTGTTATTATTATATACTGGTCGCACATAAGCGGCAAAGTACATAAATGGCATTAAGGAGCTGAGATACACAGTTCTTCCTTAGACAAAAGTTGTAGAAAATTTACCACACTATAACCGGGAAATATTTTTATTTAAAATATTACTGTGTATCTCGGTTTCTTAATACCATTGATGTACTTTGCCGCTTACGTGGGACACCTGTGTATAATGCTTTTTGACTAGTACATTAAGATGCATTAATAGAATACAGTCAACGAACTAAAATACATTGCAACCTTTACACTAGAAATAGAAGAAAAATTGTTCTTAATTATATAGATATAAATAAGAAATCTCAAAATTATAACTCAAAAGTTACAATTGATTGGAAATATTAACCAAACGTGATCTATCAACACTTACAACCTAGATTCTAGATAGAAATATATATTATAGATAGAAAAAATGTTCAAAATTGATTTTAAAAACAAAAAATTAAAACATTGTATTTCAAGAAGCAATCGAGATATTAAGATGAAATGAAAAACAATTTAAAAGAAATTTAATAAAGATTTAACGTGCCATCTTTCCATAAACATTGTTGTTATAATTTCTGTAATCCTTAGCCTACATGTTTGATTGTTACAGATTTTAAGAAAAGAAATTGAAAAAAAAATCATAACTTTAGAATGAATTGAGATATTTTCATAAAACAACAGACATTTCAAAGTCAAGATAATGAGGATTTAATATGCCATAAATAATATCTTATTTCCCATTAACCTCGTTGTTATGATTTTTTAAATCTATTTCTGCGTTTCAATCTACATTTCAATAACGAATTGAGATATAACGATGAAATAAAAAGTGTGTTAAAGCTGAGTTAATAAATATGTAATGTGCCATAATTAATCTCTTACGATTTTTTAAACCCAACTCTGATTGTTTAATTGCTATAGACTTTAATAATTTAAGAAATTTAAAAGATCCTATCTCAACAACCAATAGAGATATTACAATATGTTAAAAAACATTTTAAATGCTAAAAATAATTTCTTATTTTCCATAAACATATTTATTATGATTTTTTAAACAAAATTCTGCCTGTGTGATTGCTATTTTTAGGAATAGATATTTAAAACATCGTATCTCAAGAACGAATTGAGATATCATGATGAAATAAACAGTATTTTAAAGCGAATTTAATTAATAATGACTTTTAAACTCAATTATGTATATTTGATTTGATTTTTTTATTAAAACTTCGTTATTCAATAACTAAAGATAAAATGGTTTTGTGTAAAATGTTTTATCATCTTTTAAAGTTCACGAATAGAAATAGTCCCCGCTTTCTATTTACAATTATTAGAAGAAAATGGCAGGTATAAATTGTCTCTTTTTTTCTTTTGGTTGTCGTTGTTGGTTCCGTAAGTTTACAACCTTTTTTCATCTTCTTTCTATTTCTAGTTTTCTAAATCAGTTTTAATACAAAGCCCATTTCCCAGTAATAATATCTCTTACTCGCTCTCAAGTTTTGTTTTTCTACACTTTTTTCGTCTCTTTCGTGAGTTTTATAGAGTTCGTAATGTGTGTAACGGTCCGATAACACGCTATTTATTAAATGTGTTGGAGAGGGAATAATAAAGAATAGAAAAGAAGAAATTGTGGATTATTACGAGATTAGGCAACCCAATTAACGTGTTGAATACTTTTTGAATGCATAACAATACTTTTTTTTTACAATTAAATAAATTTAATCTAAAACTGCGTTAGCTTGAATAAACAAGCAGTTCTGTTTTTAGATTATTGTTTCATCGCAATTAAAATAAATAAAATTAGAAAATTTGGTTAATTTAGTCATCGTTGTTGTTCTCTTTTTATATTGATTGATTTAGTTTGAATCGTAACGTTTATTTTAAAATTGATAAATACAACTGAGACTTATTTGCATTGAATCCGGCCTTGGGTTGGAGTTAATTTTATTTATAAACGTTCCGTATACACGCAATAAAACGACGTTAATATACAACAAACAAAGAATAATTTATGCCCAATTTTAAATTTATTATTCCATTTCCTTTTTTTACATTAACATTTAAGATTTTAATTAAGTTTAGTCTATCGTTTCTCAAAATTTACTTTTAAGGCAATCAAATAGAAAAGATAAAGTGGATATTATTAAAGTCAATGTGTTTATCTCTCGCCTCAGAGTGAATAACGTCTTATCTTTGTTTGTTCGTTTTTAAAATCTAATATCAAATTTTATAATAACCAAAATAATTTTATTATATATGTATATACACAACCTTTATACGTACAACCTCTATATATATAAATTTTTTTCTTTCGCACAATTTCTCCCAGTTATGTCAATCGAAAGTGAAAATGTTCGGTGTCAAGTTTGCGTTTTCACTTAAAAAGTAATAACGACTTTTATAATAACATAATTAATAATAATTTTTTTTAATTTAATTGTGAAAAATGTTAGCGAATCAAAAAAAAAATGGTTTTAAAAAAAGATACTTATGCTATATACACTTTAAGAGTGCTTAAATTTAGAAAACTGACTGTGTGAGTGTGTGAGTATTTCTGAGGCAAGAATGCTTGACTCCCAAAATAGAATGACACAAAAAAAAAATTAAACAAACATATCTTCATTTTTAAAAAGAAAATACATACAGTAATATATTTTCTTTCACTTTGGACTTGAGATGCAACCTTCTTAATTACGCACCATTGCGTAACTTGGACTGGTGGAACAGGTAACAATTAAGTTGCTCAAGTACAAAATATTAACATGTATCAAAATATATCAAACGCTAACAAATTTTACCCTTTATACATTGCTCTGTAACACTTTTGCTCTCAGCTGCATCAATGTAGAGAAAGAAATATTTGAAAATATAAAAATCGGAAGAATTCGTAGGTTCACAATTGGTTAATGAAAAAAAAAATGGTATTCCGAGCATGATAGGAAAAACTTTTAAAACAAAAGTTGTAGCAAATTTTACCCTTTACACATTGCTCTCTACCACTTTTGCTGTCAGATGCATCAATGTAAAGAAATTTTTGAAAATGTGAGAATTGGAAGAATTCGTAGTTTCACATTTGGTTAATGAAAAACAAAACTTATTACATCGAAATATAGTGTTACGAGTGGTTAGCTATTCAAGGTATCTCGAAGATATTGTTGGGTTATTTCCAGTTTCGCACTTACAGCAGTGAATATTTCCCCGACAGATTACATGATTTTATGAAATGACTACGAAATATATCATAATAATTCTGAGCACTGTTAAAACTTGCCGATTTTAGATTTATGGAACATTGCAGAAATTAGAAACTAAGAATTCGTTCAAATTCAATGCCGGGCAATATCGGTCATTTGAGTTTCATTCAGATATTGTGCCGATGAATCCTAGCAATAAACAATAGTGGGGAAACCCCACTCTTATGTTAATATTGTTCGCGCTGTTTTAGTTTATGATATGAGAGTAAATGTCTTCTTATAAGACAATTTGTATCTTCACCAAGATATACAGTGTGTCCCCGGATTGTGTCCCCGTAAGGTATAATTGACGATAAATTTTTGAATTCAAATTCCATCTTTTGCAATTAAAGTTTGGATGTCATAAAACGAAATATAACCAAGTTTTACGTCAAATGTCCTCAAAGTATCAAAGTTAACGCAAGAAGTTTGTTAACCGTTGCAGGTAAAGTGGTCTTTCTGAGCAATGTACAACAAAAGTTGATTAAGATAAAATGTTTGTTATGTTAAATTATAGCGATATACCGAATTTTATTAATTTAGGATATAAAAGCAAAAACTGCAAATTTTTACATCATAAGATTAACAAAACATTTTCGATCTAAACTAAATTAACATAAAAGCTTATATGATACCACCCGGTGGTGG